TAAAATTCAAATCATGGTCTAAAATCAAGCTGTATTTGAAACAATGCCTATTGTCAGTCAGGGGCATTGATGGAAACAGGTTAAGGTTATTTTTGAATTAATTTGTTTAAGATATCAAATGCATTAATTTGGGTTATCTTTCCCTGATTATGTTTTTCTTCGGTAACTTATTCAGGTTATTACTACTTTACAATTCATAATTTTAAACCTATTGCGCTGGTATCTGAAAAGCTTTATTCATGCTGTACTGGGGGTATTTAGTAAACAGAAAAGTCATGGCAATAAAAGCAATCTACCTTTAAAATTTGAAATTCAACAAATTATAACTTTTTCCCAGTTATTTCATCCTTAACCCACTTGACTTTTGAACTCTTACACAAAAATCTAAAGCTTTGCTCAAAATAAGACATAGAAATTATATATTAATATCCAATGATTTTAGGGAAGTTATTCTCACTGTTGGCAAAATTGGCGGAAGTTGCGCAGTTGACCACTGAAATCTTCATAAAATGCAATTATTTTTCCCAGAAAAATATGATATTTTGATAAAAAGCATCCTATCTGACCAGAAGATATCAAATTGCCAAGTCTATAAAGAGATGTACATCTATACAATTTTCTCAGCCTTACATGATATTAAATCAGCAGCAAACTCAAAATATTGATGTGTTTTTTGACAAAATAAATAGGCATTCTAGTTTTTAAGAATTAACTCAAATGAGTTATTTCTTTGCTTTGTCATAAATAAGTGAAGTAACTTAAGTGAGTTATTTAAAAAAAAAAAAAATTGTTTCCATCTTGTCCCTGACTGATTATGAATCAATAACTTGAGCATCCCAATGAACTTCCATGATTAAGCAGGTGTTTGAAGGCAGCACATTGCCTGTGACACAAACCTGGGAAAAATCCTGGGGAGTGTTTGTGAACTGAGACTGTCATCACTTTGGACGATGCACAGAATGCTTCCTCCACACCTGTCAGGTAATTGACCAAGAAAACTCAAAAGAATATCTATGAGGTGTTAAAAGGACCTTTAACGTTACATTTAGTAACATCAATTTGAAATTTTTAACACATACAGATTTCAATTTAAAATTCATGTTTAATACAAACAACTGAGGAATCTTTTAAAATGGGATGAAAATGTTACATGATCTGATCTTTTCCCCACAATGTTCCTATCTACATGTAGCCTATGAAACTTGAGAAAGAAGCATATAGTGTATTTTTTATTATAAAATTTATTATCTATTGCATTATACACAAAAATCAAAATATTTTCAAGAGCAAAATTACAATGGATTTTTTAAGCACTCCCACACCCATTTATACATCCACTTGTACTTTAATATGGAGGTTGCTTCATAAAATTATCTATATCAGCTATCATCAATTGATTCTTAATATATATAAAAAAGAAATGACAAAAACCTGTTCACATTGTCTTAAATTGGTTCAAACATATTTTCCCACCAAATCCATTGTTCTTCAAAGTAAAACAGTTTTGAGTTGTTAATAAACATACACCTCTCAATATTGTGTTTCATTTTACATACATACAATGTACTTATATAAACACTGAATAAGTCACTAACCGTCTCCATGATGTACATCTAGATCCAAGTATAGAACTCTCTCAAACTTCTCTCTCAGTTTTAAGATGGCAAGAACAATGTCATTGACATAGCAGAATCCTGATGCTGTGTGTCTGAAAAAGAAAAAAAATGAAAAAGTCTCTTAATCCAGCTATCAGTACAGGGCTTATACAAAGTCCATGTCTCGATCACCAACCTTTCCTTTTTTTATTTTTTTTAATCGTTCATGAAATTTTTGAATAACCTAACATACATATATCGGGTTTGAAGGTTTTCTTTTTAGCGAAATCCTTGTAATGGTAATGGTGATTTAATTGAAGGTTTTGGGCAAGTAATTGTAATTTAATTAATTACTTTCCTATGTAATTGACCCCATGTGCTGTCAAAGAAATACAAATATTCAATATTGCTTCTCATATCTGCACATGATTAGGTGTTTTCTTAAAACCCCAGTTCTCAATTCCTTATGTCCCATCCCTCAAACCAAAAGTTCTTTAAAAGAAAAGCACTTCAGTAATTTTTATACTGGACTTGAGCTTGAATAAACCATTTCCTAGTTAGTGTTTTTATGCTGTGATGCCCCTGTATCGAAGATTTGGGGGTAAATAGTTTTTGCCCTGTCCGTCCGTCTGTCTGCAAAAACTTTAACATTGCCCATTACTTTTGATTGTTTGGAGCTCTGGCTTTCATATTTCACATGTGTATTTCTTTGGTTCCATCATATTTGACCTTTTGACCTTGACCTTGGAGTTTTCCCCCGTTTTGCAAAATTTTACTGATCTTTAACCTTGGCCATAACTTTTGAACGGTTGGTGCTAGGGCTTTCATACTCACATATGTCATCCTTGTGACAAGACCTTCCTTTGGATACCAAAAACTTTGATTCTTTGACCTTGACCTTGGAGTTTGACCTACTTTTGGAAAACTTTAACCTTGGATGACTTTTAAACAGTAGGTGATTTCCTCTTTAACATGTCTATTCCTTGTGACAAGACCTTCCTTTGGACACCAACAATTGTAATCCACTGACCTTGGAGTTTGACTTCTTTTTGAAAATTATAACCTTGGCCATAACTTTTGGATGATTTGTGCTATGGCTATCATATTTCACATGTGTATTTCTTGTGAGAAGGCCTTTTCTTGGGCACCATTAATTTTGACCATTTGACCTTGATGTTCTACTTACTTTTGAAAAAATATAACCTTTTCCATATGTATTCAATGGTTGTTGCTAGGGCTTTTATATTTCACAGGTATATTCCTCAAGACAAGACCTTACTATGGGTACCAATATATTTGATTTGCATTTTGGAAAGTTTAACCTTTGCTATAAGTTGCCATACAGGGGCATCAGTGTTTTACAAACACATAAGAAATTTTCAATCAGTGAATCTCATCAGTTTATTAAAGTATCAATTTACAAATTTAAACAGATTTTTCATCAGAAGAATTTTACTTTTGATCCTGTGTCTAAAATAATCATGCCATAAACCACATTCAACAACATATCTAACAGGCCATAAGTAATGTTTAAATCATTTCTTAGTACACTAATATATATATATATATATATATATATATATATATATATATATATATATATATATATATATATATATATATATATATATAATTTTATTTATTTATATATATATATATATATATATATATATATATATATATATATATATATATATATATATATATACTCTTGACATTATCATACCAAATCTGCATACTGCCTCTTGATTCTGAAATTCTGGCAAATAGTTTCTCAAGTTAGAATAATTTAGCAAAGAGCAAAAAAAATAATAAAGATTTTCAATTTATTCCAACCAAGGGTCTTTAAAGCCTTCAAATTCAAATCACTTGACATTATGACTTACAGTGCAAAAGCTAATGGCATACAAATTTCCCACCGTTTAATACACATGAACATTCTACTTAAAGGCCCTTTCACAATTGGCGCACGAGCAGACGCGACAAAATATTCATGCGACCGAAAAAATTTGATTTGGATCGTAAACTGTTGCCGAAATAATCGCATATGAAAAAGTGTTCGTACGAAATTCGCAAGATCTAAAGCGACCGTTGTGCGATGCAAACGCATTAAATCTTGTGATATATCTTGCGTCTATATGCGACTGATATACAATGAAAGCGAGTGTTGTAAGACAATGCGTTAGGATCGCACGAGTGATCAGGTGATCGGACGATTTAATGTGTGTCAATGCGATTGGACGTGCGGCGCTCGTGCGATCATGTGTTCCATGGTACGAATGCTCGTTCGAGTGCATTAAAGCAACACCCATCAGCCACACAATTCTAAATTTAGAGAACCCTACACAGTGCTGCGATTTTTCTTATTTCTTCTAATATCTTTACCGTTTAGATTTGTTTGATTGTATGTTGTTTAACGTCCCTCTCGAGGATTTTTCGCTCATATGGAGACGCCACCACTTGCCGGTGGAGAGCTGCAAATTTGGTGCTATACTCGGCACTTACGGCCATTGAGCAGTGAGGGATCTTTTTCGTGCCAGCACCTACTGCGACACGGGACCTCGGTTTATGCTGTCTCATCCGAAGGACCGGTCTCCACGTCCCACAGTGGGATTCGAACCCGCGACATAGGGATTAACTCCTTACTTTGCGACTCTAGAGCACTAACCACTGCGCCACGCAGGCGACTACCGCTTAGAATGTGCGTAATTATTTATTGACTGTTTTATTATGACAGCAAAGTGTTTCGATAATTTGATATCGTATTGATGTATGTATATAATATATGTAGTATATATATATATATAATATATGTGGTATATATATATATATTTGCATGGTAAATTGAAGCTGATAAATCGTGCAATGATAGTAAAACGTTGCAAGATTACATGAGATACATTGCGCAACAGTCTAATGGTCACAAAACACACGCATAGACAGCTGCAATTCATCGTACGGCCTTCAAAAATCGCGCATCACTCTTATGAGTACCTAAAACGTTGTAAGACATTCGTACTAATGTTCATGAGTTGCCTTGAGATAATTTGGATCGCATTTGGTCGCGTCTGAATAGTGTACGTCCACTATTTTGAGGAGACTTGATGCGACCACTAAAACGCATGCAACAAATGCGAGACATCGAGCAACATATGCGAGAGCTCGTGCGAAGCTAAAATATTCCGATCGCAAAGTGTTGTAAAGTGCTCGTGCGCCAATTGTGAAAGGGCCTTAAGACAGCTTCTTCGGAGAGTGTATTTTACCTCTTAGCATGATGCCATCCCCCACACCAATTGACAGCGACCTGACTCCGCCCCTCCAGCAGACATTCAGCAGCCCTGAGTGATGCCCCACTGGTCAAAGAAGCATATGTGTAAACGTGACGATTGATCGGGCAGTCATAGGCTAAAAAGGGAAGAAAATCACTGGTCAATGAAATGATCATAATACATGTAAAATATTGCCAAAGCCCTTTTGTTTCCCTGAATGCTACTTTTTAATCAATTTGGTTTAAAACAAACTCTCAAAAGACAACAAATCATAAAATACAAGAGGCCCAAAGGCCTTGAATTGCTCTTCTGATAAATTTCACTTCTATTTGAAGCCTCTAAGTATCCTGTTTATTTAGACAATTCCAAAAGTAGATCATCATGTTCTACATTTTGGCTAAAACACTATGAGAACCCAAGATGCATCAACTGACTAAGTTCAATGATTTGAAGCCCCTTATTATCTTAAATATTCAGATATAGCCATGAGATTCGAAAAGTAGGTCGTGGTAACTTTTTGAACAACATACTCCAAGACCCTGAAATGCCTCAACTGATGATTTTAAGTCTCTTATTATTTGAAATATTTAGATATTGCCTTGAAATTCTAAAAGTAGGTCACTGTGACCTACTTTTCAGTTGACACATTCTGAGGACTCAAAATACATCTACTGACAAAGTTTGATGATTCTATGATTCTTTAGCCAATTAGTACCTGATATATTTAAATATAGCCATGAAATTTCAAAAGTACGTCACAGTGACCTACTTTTCAGTTGCTGTACTCCGAGGACCCAAAATGCATCAACTGACAAAGTTTGATCATTCTAAGCCAATTACAACCTGAAATATTTAAATATAGTCATAAAATTTCAAGAAGTATGTCACGGTGACTTACTTTTCAGTTAACGTACTCTGAGGACCCAAGATGCTTCAACTGACAAATTTTTATCATCATAGGCCTTACAGTGTTCAAAATATGCCTCTAAAACAATTTGAAAATGAATGCCTGCAAAATTCAAAACAAAAATAGGTCACTGTGACCTACTTTTGAGTCAACATGATATGAGGTCCTAAGATGCATCAACTGACAAGATTTGATGATGATCCTAGTCCCTATAGTAATTTAAGCAAAATATCAAAGATTTAACAAAGATAATTTTTGGTAAACTTTGAAGTGACCTTGAGACCACACCCTTTGCCCCAGGGTGTTGGCAATATTCAACAAACTTCATTCACTATCTGAAAATACATCTAAAATTGAGGCACAAAAATAATTTTTTAAAAACTTTTAAGTCATTGGCTAACTTTTGTCGAGTGATTGCAATAACCGATTCCAAAATTTAAATACCCTAAATCAAATGCCTGCAAATTACTATGACAAACAAAATAGTGCCCCTTGATATCAAGATCATCTAAAAATAATTTAAATACCCGATACTTGAAAGCATTACTGGTCCAGTGGAACGAGCGGTAACTTCCAAGCCAAAGGACCCCAGTTCAAATCCACTGTGAGACACGCCTCTTTTTTTTTTTTTTTTTTTTTTTTACATTTTTAAAAACGAAAAGAAATTTTAAAAATGTTTCATACTAAAATGAAAGAGATGTCAAAGTCAAATTTGGTCATTTCTTTCTGATGATCTTGTGGAAACTAACAGGATAAATATCAAGTCAGCTAGTCTAAGACCTAAACCAGGTCAGCTAGTCTAGGACCAAAACCTAATCAGCTAGTCCAGGACCAAAACTTAGTCAGCTTGTCTAGGACCGTAACCAAGTCAGCTAGACTAAGACCTAAATTAAGTCAGCTAGTCTAAGACCTATACCTCGTCAGCTAGTCTAGGACTTAACCTAGTCAGCTAGTTTATGACTTAAACCGGGTCAGCTAATCTAAGACTTACACCAAGTCAGCTAGTCTAAGACCTACACCAAGTCGCTATTCTAAGACTTTAACTAAGTCTAAGACCTAAACCTAGTCAGCTTGTTAAAGACCTAAACTAAGTCAGCCAATCTAAGACTTAAACCAAATCAGCTAGTCTAAGACCTTAGACCTAGTCAGCTAGTCCAGGACCCAAACCTAGTCAGCTAATCTAAGACTTAAACCAAGTCTAAGACCTAAATCTAGTCAGTTAGTCTAAGACAAACCAAGTCAGCTAGTCTAAGACCTTAACCAAGTTGCTTGTCTAAGACTTTAACCCTGTCCCTAGTCTAAAACTTAAACCAATCCTAACTAAAACCAAAACAAATCTCATATTTGTTCAAAAATTAAAAGCAAGATCCCCCCCCCCCCCTAAAAATATGTCCATAGGTCAAGAATACCCCACCCTGGGTTCATTAGTAATGCAACAAGAAAATTTTTATTACTGTATCAAGTTTAATAAAATTATCTTGAATAGTTAATTTAAAACTGAGTTTTTTACACAATAAATAATAAAGTCATGATTAAGGTAAAAAAAAATTGATAAAGTTGATAAATTCTCACCAAAGTATTATCAATGCATACACTTACATAAAAATATATTGAGAATACATTATCTGAAACTGAGCTAAACATTTATTTAAGAAAAGTGCAGTATAATGATTGTAGGAAAAAATGTTTGCACCAACTAAACTGGGTAATATTTACATGATTCTTCTCTGAAAATGCTTGCACTGGTGTGAAATTTATAGTCTATGCTTCTGTTTGACTCTTCATGTTCATTGTTGCGTAAATATAAGCCTTCACTACCTATATAAAGTCCCAGGTATTAAAAGATTAGGTCGACCGCTTGGTGCAGTGGTTAGAGCGTTTGCTCTAGAGTCGCAAAGTAAGGAGTTGATCCTTACGTCATGGGTTCAAATCCCACTGTGGGACATGGAGACCAGTCCTTCGGATGAGACCATTTAAACCGAGTCCCGTGTCGCAGTAGCCTAGGTGCTGGCAAGAAAAAGATCCCTCACTGCTCAATGACCCTGAGTGTCGAGTAAAGGTCAAAATTTGCAGCTCTCCAACGGCATGTGGTGGCGTCTCCATATAAGTGAAAAATTCTCGAGAGGGACGTTAAACAACAAACAAACAAACAAATTAACAGATAAGTAATAATTGTAGAAACATGAAATACTTTCTTAATAGAAGAAGCACAACAATACACACACACAAAATAATTTTTGTTATATTTTTATATTTTCTTTTTAATTATGACTCCTGAATGTAGTTCATTTCACATTCATATTGGTCTTGTTCTTCCAGGTATAGAATGAAGAGCTTGATAGTGTCTTCCAACTACTCCCACTTTTTAAAATCACTTTTCCCTCTAATAACAATAGAAATTTTGATAGTTAATTTGTTTTTATATCATTAAAGTTTATCAAATATCACTTTAAATTTACCTGTATTTAACAAATTTTGTCAATAAATAAAAGAACAATTTTATTTGATTTTAAAATTTTAAAATCAGATTTCTGAATATCCTTGAATTTATGATATCAACTATATGCCATTTGTTCACCAGATAACTCATAAATCTCTATATGCAATTTGGTTGTTGTTTTTTTTCACTTGTATTTACCTTCATTAAAACAAAAGAAAAAATCACTTAATGCTGATACAAGTTTTTCATGATTTAATAAATTATACATCTAGAATATAATCTATTTTGAAAATTCCATGTACTTATAAATCTATCTGTTATTTTTTTTTTTTTTTTTAAAGCCACATATGCATATTGAAAAACAACTTCAAAGGTCTATATATTGACAGGTATTTAAATCACATGACCTGGATTAAAATCACATGACTTAGCAACAGGCCAACACCAGGAAGTAAATCGTCAGACAGTATTTTGGGAGCCATGTTGAGTTTACAGGTGAGATATTATTTCATTTTTTATATCAACACCTCTCTGTGCAAATTATCCTCTATCTGAATTTTTAAAAACAATGTTTTACTAAAAAGTGGAAACCCATTAAAAAAGAGCAATATAATAATGCATATATGACAGTAATGGTCTCAGCATGGGGTTTTAAGTCACAATTGAGGTCACAATTGTATCTAATACTTAACCCGGCCTTGCCATGGTAAAATTTAACTGAATCACAGGTATAAACATCTTGTGGATTTGCAAATTAAAACTCTGATCTTAAGAAACATTCTTTGAGAATATTTTAATCTCCATGTTGACAAAAACAGTTTTTAGTCTGTATACAGAACTCCAGATAATTTTTTACCTCAAAGTGTATTTACTCCCTGATTTTCAAATCAATGCAGATTTTGCTCTTTAGCTGAATAATCAAAGAGTATTTTGTTAATCTATTGCTCTTTTGTCATCTAATGTGATTTTTAGCTTCTTATCAAAATAAGTGTTTTTGAAAGAGGAATGTAAAAAACGGACAGTTTCTGCATTAATCAATTAGGTTAATGAAATTTTAAAAATGTTGTCAGCTTTTAGCTTTAACCGAGAAACATTTTGTTTCTTTCACCAGAAAGACCATACGGTAGGCAAATTAAGTTACCAGCTGAACACAGAACTCCATTTAAGATTAGGCCTATATCGATCGTAGCAAGAGTTTACCGAGAAAAATATCCTTCCTTTGGCCAGATAAAATTAATCGTTAGATTTTTATCCCAACCTGCCACTCTCAAAATGTCCCGACTGTTGTTGTTTTTTAATCAAAAATATATATTAGGTTTTGCTATATTGACATCGGTCGAGGTAATAGTTTTGGAGTTACTCTCCGTTTGCATTAAAAGTCGCGTGGCACTATTTATAGCACAGGAGCGTGTGGAAAGCCAAAAAAATTCCTTTCAATAAAAATTAAAACACTGAGCTGACCTCAATTCACATAATTAATTAAATTGTACTTGCATCATTCAATCCGTCATACGCAGTACTTTCATAATGTAATGCTTATTTATGATTGCTAATGCGTAATTGTACGCCCTGATTTAATTTCTAATGCATATTTTGAAAAATTCAATGCATATTTCTGCAAATACGCACCTTATCTGGAGCTCTGTGTATATAAGCACAAACCCATGCAAGTTAGAATTGTCCTTTACTAAAACAGCCCAGCTTTAACAAAATCTATTAACTATATATATATTCTCTTTGTTTAATTTTCTTTACATTGTCAAGTATATTTTCTATAAATGATTTTCAT